AATTTTGGTTTAAGCTAAAGTTTGATTTCTTTCGTGAATAAGACCGTATTAGGCAATGTATAATTTGGTTCTATTAAGGCATAAACTAAAATTGAATAGGATTAGATTTAGTCCATGAAGTTGGGAGGCTAGTCTCTACAGCTCAATACCCTTATGTTTTTCCCTTCTTCTTTCTTTACAAGAGATAACAATTCATTTCAAACTGAGAAATTTAATTAAAATAATAAAAATATTTATAATTATACAAAATTTATCATAAAATATTAAAAGTTAATCATACTAAATCCATAACAGTCTCCAGTAAAAAAAAAGAAATATTTTAGTTATAATCAATAAAAACATTCAATAAATTCAACATCTCTAGATTACATTATAGCAACAAATTAATGACAAATTTTAACTAATTTTCATGCAATCATTTTCTCCGGCATCAATTATTCTTGATACATTTTTTAAAAATAAATTATACACACATATATAAAGTGATTAATAATAATATAATATATAAATTTAAATTGAGACGTTTCATTCAATAATTAAATCTTAGATTTCACATTTCACTATATTAAAATAAAATATTATAATGATGTTTAAATAATTTTATGAAACTAGACGAGATCAAATGGTTTAAAACCTCAATCCCTATTCAGTCTAACTCAAAAATAAAGTTTAGCCTTATTAATTCTTTTAGTCCTTCAAATCAATTTTTTCATAGGGTAAGATTGGATTGAATTTCCTTAATTTGAATTAGATTTGATAGGCTTGTCACAGCCCTATTGGTATCAGCTATGTCCATCACATCACATGTCTTTTATTTATTTTTTAATGCAAGTGAAGAATTCAGTTTCATAAAAGCCAAGAGTTGGAAAAAATGGATATCGGTCTAATACAAACTGACTTCTTAATTTATAATATTTAGAGAAATATTTTTAAATATAGTATTTGGGTAAATAATTTTTTTATATAGCATTGGAGTCAAATTGCCTGATAAAAACGGGAAGAAAATGATATAATTTGGAACAGATAGATTTTAAACAATTGGAATGTAGGAGAAATTTACAATCACGAAAGAGTTGTAGTAAAACATAAATTTAGAATTGGATAAATTCAAATTCATAAAAATTTTATATATCCAATTGAAAGATTTAGTTTAAATTTAAATCTCCATTAAAACATTCAAATACATTAAATTAACTAATAGATGGTTAGATAATGGCTTCTATACATGAGACTTGAGATAACAGTAGTGTGAAATTTTTAAATTTTTTATATAAATAGTAAAATTTAATCTTATGATCTTATGAATTATAAACTAAAATTTTGTCAACTAAAAGAAATTTTTATGATAATTTTTTCACAGTTTTGTTAAATACAAATAATAAACCCTGGGAAGTTTGAATTTTTGAGTATAGTGTACGATTTGATTTTTTTTAATAAAAAAAGGAAAAGGAAAAATAGAAAGAATATGCTAAAGTGAATGAGGGTGAAGTCGGCAAAGAAAACGTGTTGACTACGTAGCGTGGAGAAACTGCCCCCCGGCCACAGCCCACCATCGTTGCACCGTCGTTTTCCCCTCGAGCCTTGTTTCGTTTTGTTAATTAGCTAGTGTTATGATTCATTAAATTAGTATTATCTATGAAATATATTCAATTAATCTTTTGAAACCACAATACAATAAAAAATTTAAGTTGCATATATATATAGAAATTTTATTACATTAAATAAAAATTGTGTTAAAATTCTGATTGATTAAACTTATTTTTAACATAAAAAGACAATAATAAAAAAAAATTGTATCCCACCGACATGCATCCAGACCAGTAGAAGGGGTTATAACTTTTAGAAAATTTTAGATTACTTTTGAGTAATTCTAAAAGCTGTAGAAATTATTTTTAGACCTCTGTAAAATAATTTATAAATTAAAGATAAATCATGACTAGTTGAAATTTATTTTAATTACTTTGGGAGGAAAATTTTACTTATTGGATATGTAGGACTTATAAAACATTCACACAACCATTTTAAAATTAAAAAGTAATGAATAATATGATTTAGAGTTGCTTTGGGGAATCTTTGATAAGATCTAATGTCAGAAATAGATAAAATAAAATTAGTAGAATTTAATGAGAGTAGTTCTAAAATTAAATATAGTTTTCATGTGTGCTTTGGGATAACTAATTAAAGAGTACTAGATAATTAAATATAAATTTTATGTGACTCTAAATTTTTAGATTATTGTTTGTAAAGGTGTTAAGAGTCTTTTAAGGGACTCCTTAATTTTTCTTTGATGTTTGAGTTAGTTGGAGGATCTTTTATAGAGAAACCTTAGGTTCTTTGAGTGAACACGAACCTAGCTAATTTCTTTTTAGTTGTTATATATACACATGTTGGTAGGTAACTATAAATTTTATAATACTTATATTAAATTGAATCTAATAAAGCATGCATATCATAACATTTTGCAAAAATTTGGTCTAGTAAAGAGTAAAAAAAAATTGAGAATTTATGTTGCATAGTATAACACTTAGGAATACTACATATTGCTTGTATGAAAATTTAGAATTAGATAGATGATAATTGATTTTGATTGATTGTATAATTTAAATGTTATTAGATGTATGGTGAAAAATTTAATTATGTGAGGATTCGAATATAACTATTTTGGATGATAGTTTATGGTCATTGAACATTATCAAATAATCTTGTCATAAATGAAAATGCGATTAACTCTGAAATATATTGAAATTGTTCTACTCATGGGCTGGTTGTAGGTTGTGGGATAAAACAAAGAAAAAAATGCAGGATGGTAATCACACATTTGCCCTTGTATAGCATGCATGAAGTGGCCTTATTATGTACCTGAGCTACCTAGTTCCTTTGACCAAGGTTGGGATAAGCTTAGTACTTTTTTTTTGCACCCTTTTTGTTGAAAGGGGAAGTTAAGGCTCGATATGGAGTAACGAAGCCTTCGACTAGGCACCAGCTCCTTTCACCTGAGGCTTCGGCTTGAGGAAAATGAGGAGATAAGGATGAAATTAATATAAAAAAAAATAGACTTTTAATCTAATAATATTGTTCTTCAAATGTTTTATACTTGTTTCTTGTAATGTTTATTTGATATTATTGATGTTCATTGGATAATATACACTTGAATTACTGGATAAGGTTGATGGATTCTTGTATCTTTTATCTAAATTCTTTTATTATATGAATGAACAATTTTTAGCATGGTTGTGTTAGGTATGAGACTGTTATATATTAAATAAAACATTTTCAAGTATGTTAGTTAGTAGATATTGTTACATTGAATTTAGACATACTTGAAATTTCTTTATGATAATTATTAATGTGAAATAAAACGTATCGTTTCCAAAAACCCAATGACTGGGTCATCTATTGGTCGTAGATACACCATAACCTCTAAGATGTTACTTATCCCATTTTGACAGCTTTAATAAGTGTACGTCCAAAAAATATGATTAAGGAATGTGTACGCGATTAATTACTATATCTCAAACTTTTCTTTTACGTTACATAGGAGGTTTTGAATTCTAAACTTTTTCTCACATTAATTTTCCCATCCAAATCACTAGTATGTCATCCTTAATAAGCTTAATTATCTAAGAAATTTCTGTATTATGTATAAACATTTTTTCATACAATGTAATTTATTTGTTGTTTCAATTTTTGCATGTTAATTAAGGATAAGGAAAAAATGTTCGTTTAAAGATATTAAAATATATTAAAAAATATATGTAAATGATACTGGAAAATTGTCAAGAAGTGAAAATAAAAAATGAGCTAAAAAGAGTAAGGCAAGAATATGTGAGAGAAGAAAGGGCGTTTGTCCACGCGTAGCGAAGTGAGCACAAGTACGGGGAAGTACCCGATCAGAAATTATCAGCTCTATCATTTTTTATTTTCATTATATATATATATATAGGATCCGTACAATGATCGTTAATTATCCTTCCTTTTACAATAGCTGCGCCCAGCTCATGAAGTTTTGTCCACTCTTGTTCCGAAAACATGTATGTTAAATGTAGTTCTTGCCGACGACTTGGTTTTGATTTTTGACAAAACGTGTATCTAAACCCACGTATATCTAACTGGTCGAGTTTTGAGAGAGTAAATTGGTGACTTTGACATACAGAGAGCAAGAAAACGAGCGGGCTTGACTTTTAATTAACTCTAATTTTTTATTTTTTACTTCTTTTGTGAAATTCGGCTCTTATTTAAAGGGTTTAAAATTGAACCTGCGTTTTACAAAAATTAAAAAAATTAAAATAAAATTAAACACTATAAATTAAGTAAAATATTTTAAAATTAAAATTTTTATAATTTTTTAAAAATTAAACAACACACATTTAAAAATTTAGTAATAAAATTTAAATTTTGGTTAAAAATAATTTTTTTTATAAATACACAAACATAATAATTATAAAAAACTTAAAAATATTAAAAATCTTATACTGCACACTAAAATTTATTAAATTATAGTAAATTAATTTTACAATAAATTAAAATTAATAATAATATAATATATGTGAGAGCAGGGCTTCAAGTGAGCAAGTACTTGGCTTTAAATGCGTGTTTCATAAAAAAAATAACAATAATAATATAATAAGGCTTGAAGGGTCAATTGAGTCTGAGTTTTTTTTATAGGACTTATTAAGGTTAGGCCATTAAGTCTAATTACTTTAAAAAAATTTATTTCTAAAACTCAAACTCTTATTTAAATAAAGTATCCAAACTTAGCCTTTTATTTTCAGCTTTAGACATTATGCGCTGATGCAAGTTATCCACAAGCGCTTTGGCAAGACAAGCATACCTCAACTACCGCCCCTGGTCCATGCAGATTAATCAATAAACCATCCACGACTATAATCAATGCATCTAGTACCACTTAAAATTAATACCAACCTCGAAGTATCACTATTATTTATTATTTCCATTCATATTATTAATTATTAATAATAGCAATTAATTCCAGAACAACTCCGCTAAAGATTCTGATCCCAATCTACTTCTAATCTTCTATAGCGCCACCTCCACTGCCACTGTGTTCTTCCTCTCCTACCTTCCTTGCTAAATTTCCCATATGAAGTTCCTGCTTTTCAGAAGTAAAGTAGTAATATAAGAAAATGGGAGATGGAAGAAGAGAATAGTAAACATGCGAAAGAGGCGAGGGAGGGGGAAATATATACAGTATTAGTGCTGGCTGCCAGCGACAAAATATTGGATATCATTGACTTCTGGGGGTGACTGTATGAAAGAGACCAACGTGGGTTCAAAGCCACGCAGAAACCGCGGGAGGGGTTGGAGCTCTGTACTGTCTTCTCCTTCCATCTCCGATTCCCGTTTCTGTCTTTGCTGTCTACTAACCCTTCTTTTTCAAAATCATTTGAATCGCACACTCCTCTCCGTCCCACATCCATCATTCCCCAGAATAACACACAACCATGCCTGCACCTTCACCGACGTCGACTTTCATCTGTATCTTCCTTTTCTTCACCACTAGCTGTGCCGCCCTTGCTGCTCCGCGCTTCAAAGAAGCCCCAAAGTTCTACAACTCCCCCAACTGCTCTGACGACGCTATCCACGTAGCGATGACCCTCGACGTCACCTACCTTCGCGGCTCAATGGCCGCCATCCTCTCCGTCCTCCAACACTCTTCCTGTCCCGAGAACGTCGTTTTCCATTTTGTCTCCGCCGCTTCCATGCTTTCTTCCGCTCCCATCCTCAACCTCACCATCTCCGCCTCCTTCCCGTACCTCAAATTCCGAATCTACCCCTTCGATGACGTCACCGTCGCTGGGCTAATCTCCTCTTCCATCCGCACCGCATTGGACTGCCCTCTCAACTATGCCCGCAACTACCTCCCCAATCTCCTCCCTCCTTCTGTCCGCAAAGTCGTCTACCTCGACTCCGACTTGGTCCTCTTCAATGACATTGCAGAACTAGCTGCCACTCCGATGGGCTCCAACCAGGTCCTTGCTGCTCCCGAATACTGCAACGCCGATTTCACCGCCTACTTCACGCCGACGTTTTGGTCCAATCCGTCCTTGTCGCTCACGTTTGCGGGTCGCGGACCTTGCTATTTCAACACCGGGGTGATGGTGATCGATTTGGAGCGGTGGCGTGCCGGCGATTACACAAGGAAGATTGAGGAGTGGATGGAACTGCAGAAAAGGATTCGGATCTACGAGCTGGGATCACTGCCGCCGTTCCTGCTGGTGTTCGCCGGGAACATAGCGCCGGTGGATCACAAGTGGAATCAACATGGGCTCGGCGGCGACAACTTTAGTGGGCTTTGCAGGGATTTGCATCCGGGCCCGGTGAGCCTGTTGCACTGGAGCGGGAAGGGTAAGCCCTGGGTTCGGCTAGACGCCAACAGGCCTTGCCCTCTGGATGCCCTATGGGCTCCCTACGATCTGTTAGAGACGCCCGTCGCTCTGGATGCTTAGGCCATCCAATTCTTCTTCTTCTTCTTTTTTTTTTGCTTCCATGAATAAGATTAAAAATCTATCATCGTCCTTTTCTTTTTATTTCCCCAATTTTATCGTCTTTTTAAATTTATGGTTTGAATTTTTTTCCGTGTTTGGGAGGAGATGGCGCTGCAGTCGCTCCCGGCTGATCGTGGAGGAGACAGAAGTATATGGTGTTTCTAGACTTGGAATGGATAGTATAGGTACAGCCATGGACATATTGCATATTCTTGTTTTCTATGAGAAGTGTAGTCGACTGACTGTTACAGCTTATAATTTTGTTACAGCTCATAATTCTATGTTTCTCGTTGAAGATCCTGTCACTTTTCCTCTCAAATCCCGTTTGCACGTAATTATATATGACCTATACGGTTACTGCCCATAAAAAAAGGGTTACAAGTCTGCACATTTTGCTGTGCTGTATACGTAATTAATTAAATCGCAGCAATGTGTAATCAATGAGCGGGGAAGCCAATAACGAAAGCAGTCAAAATAAACCGCTAGGCAAGGTTGGCCTGTAAAGAAGTGAAATGAGAAAGCGACGGCCAGGGAAGATGTCGGTGGCGCCGTGACGGTGACACTAGGGAGATGAGAGATCTGAAAAGGATTAGTGCATGGGCATATTTTTTCAGGTTACGCAAATCACCAACAGTTTTTTCACGCGTCCATGGATTGTCTGCTTAAAGCACAACATAACTTTGCGAGGGTTTGACGATCATTAATTATGGTGAGTGGTGACGCTTTTACTTGGTTATGGTCATCCAAATAGAGTCCGGCTTTTGGCTTAATTGATGGGTTTATTTGAAATATACGAATATTAATTGTTGCGTTCAAGGATCCTATGTGTTAGGATGCCGCTTAAAAATCGCAAGCATGCATGATTTATGATAAAGCAATCTCGGGGCCAGTGGGTGCGAGTACCACGCAGTGCATAGGAGTAAATGGATGGCAAAACAAGAAGGATCAAGAGAAGTGATGGTGATTGCATTAAAAGCAAAAGAGAATGAGTGGGCGTGATGAAAACAGGTGGCTCCTGAGAGAATGGATGGATGGACGCACCCTGGTGTTTGAAAAAGGGGCACCGATTCTCCAATTCCCAACTCCAATTTCAGTCCTCATGTAATTACTTAAATGTGCCCAAAGTTAACGTGCACGAGATCACAAAACAAATTAAAGCCTTGGAATAATGTAGGGACACGGTAATAGTAACAATAACATGATGACTAAGAAGACAGGCTGAGGGTTTCACCGGGGGGTTGAAAAAAGGCAAGCTCAGTCAGTGTTTACGTCTTCGGTATTCTTTCCGCTCTCCCATGTTATGCTCGTTACGTATTCGGCCCCACGTACGTGCGTTTCATGCGCCTCTAACTAGTGTTATGAGTGACGATTGACTTATCACTGGGCCGGTCTCCATAACATTCTAGAAAGTAAAAATATATATTGAAAGTTGATTATCAAGAATTTAATTTCAGCGACTACTTATATGGATGTCAATAAATCTATGAATGCCGACACTTTGATTTATGGACATGATATAAAGTATAATGGTGCTCTCTATGCGGTCAAAATTACGTAAGACTCCTAGTAAGTTTTCAGGGCGTCGACCGTAAATTAAATAATAATAATAATAATTTAATCAAAATTAAAGGAGTAGAAAGCCAGTGAAATACTGAATAAGAAACACGAGTCGTTGTGAAGTGGAGCGAGACGGAGCCATAGTTTAATGTTTGATGGGATCAAATCATCAAGGGGGTAGGGGGTTGGGATTTGGGAGGCATCTATATCCCCAGTGGCAGTTATATTTTTGGTGTGTGTGTGTGTGTCTCGTTTAGGCTTTTTTTTTTTTTGTGTTTTTTTTTGGGGGGGGGGGAATCGATCCTAGAGATGCGTTGTGAGTCACAGCAACGGCGGATTTTATATTAATATTATAAAAGACACCAGAGGTTGGGCCAGTTGAATTTGGGAAGTGACAAATATTAAAATGGCAAAAACTTCAAATATTCGGGTTTTAAGTTGGGCGGAGTCAACTTACCGCCACTGGCATGCCATGTGAAGCTGGGGATGCGCAGGATTAATGGATTCACAAATGGAGATGAGTATTCTACCATGGTTTGTACGGAGAATTTCAACTTTCCGAAAGAATATTCTTTTTTTTTTAAAAAATAAAAGATAGGCAAATTAGGGGGAGCCAATTGGGGGTGGAAATAGACTAGATTGAGTAAGGTTTTGATTAAATAAATTTGAGCCTATGTAGTAAATCAAAAACTTAAACCAATATTTTCAGAACCGAACTTAATATTGAACTGAAAAAATTAGCAATTCACAGTTCGTATGGTTCAATCGAGTTGGACAAGTGGTCAAACTGGTGATGTAATAATTAAATTTTAAAAAATATATATATGTATATAATAATCTAAATATAACAAATACATATAAAATTACTATTTAACTTAAAAAATAAAATATTTTAAATTTATCATAATTTAACAAGCCACATGATATAACATAATATCAAATGATTAAAAAATTAGTTATTTTTTTCGGCTTGATTCCGGTTCCCGGTCTGACCGCCAGTTGAAAATGACTTAACCCTTAAAATGATTTTTCATATAAACCAGACCGAAATTCATACCGATCGACGGTTAGACTGATCTGACCATCTGGTCCAGTTTTAAAAACACTGACCTAAACTTAACTTAAAGCTTGTACAGCTTTTTTTTCACATCTTAGATTGGAGTTTTCTCAAAACTTATTCTAACCTGAAAACTTATTTAAAAACTTACTTAAAAAAAAACCTATTAAACAGGGTTATATATTTCTAGACATCTCAAATTTACCTTAGAGCAAATTATTAAACTCTATATTTATGTAACATAATTTATCAATTTTAATATATAACAATTAAAATAATTTAGCAACTACAATACAATAATAACATAACTGTTAAAATTAATATATAAATTCAATTTAATTGAAAACATAACAAAACATAAAAAAATTAATTAATTAAAACTTAAATGATAAAATTAATGTGTATAATATATTATATAATAATATTTATGTAAATAGATTAATCAGTTGAACTTGTAGGTTAGGTTTCATAAAATCAGTTCTGACTTATTTAATAAACTTAGTCAAAAGTCTAAACTTTAATTGATTTTAAAAAAAAAAAAGATAAGGCTGCAAGCTGCAGAGGGAGATCTCGCGTATTTCTACTCCAAGAGATAAATAGAAAGTAGCACACGGGGACGATGAAGGGAATTGGAGAAGGAAGGGGAAGTGGGGGAGAGAGAAGAGGGGAAGTTCCCGGCTCCTACAATATCAGGATATGAACTTTTAAGGCAGCAAAAACATGAATGTTGAATTTTTCATCACCCAATGAAGATCCATCCATCACCAATGGCACACTTTGATGTGATGTCTCTCTGCTCTAAAAGCTCCACCGCCATCACGGCCACCGACCTTTCTTTCTCTGAAGGGACTGTAGAACCTCTTCCATGAATCCAACTGGAAGATTCGACGCTGGTGTCACGTCTTTTATGGGCTTTTCCTCCCGAGCCGATCCATAATCTCTTCTCACCTTTTAACATTGTTTTTGGGCTTCAATTGATTCGTGAAGCCTTCAATCGGGACCCCAGTAACCCAGTTACATCAAATGAAGGTAGAGCCCACAACCAGCCAGAGCTTGTAATTCCATGGGTCCAAGCTTGACCTGAGCACTTTCAAAAGAAGCCGAATAATCAAATTATGAAATTCTTTTCATTTTAAAAGTAAGCTTTAATTTGTATTTTATAATTAATTATTTTTATCATCATCAAAAAATATATAATATGTTTTTTGAAATACTTAAAAAATGTGTGGAAGACTCACATTTTCGTAAAAAAAATTTGTGGGTCATAAATTTGAAAGATAAAGATTAAATTATATTTTAAATACTATTTTTAATATATTTTATAGATTAAAAATAATAAAAATAAAACAATATTGATATTTTAAATTTTAAGAAAATATCTATAATAATTTACTCAGGTATATGGTCTATTAGTATAAAATGAACTGAGATTTAAATAACTAACCAATATTCAATATTTTAAAAAAAATGCTATTTAGGTATTTGATCCAAGCTCAAACTTGATTAGGTTTATTCTGAATTTTTTTTCAAGTCTATTAATCATTAATTTTGTCTAAAAATAAAATATATTTTTGATTTTACATATATTTAAATACGGTGTTTTATACTTGTATCATATTCTCTTTCGTATTTAATGACTTTACATATAATAATATTGAAAAAAAATATTATCTCATGAAGTGATTTATAATAAAAATTATCAATTTCTTCTAAAAAATTATTTATTATAAGTACCATTGTTAATATATTAAATATTAAATATTGACGATGGCTTGTTCTAAAGTTTAAGTACATCCATACACTTATTAAAGTAGTGTTTGGGACTTTTTTTTAGGGATGGAGTTAAATGGAGTGGGATGATTGAAAAGTTCTATATCATGTTTGGGAGAATTTTTTAAAAGGGAGTGTTATGACTTGGGTTGCCTTCCAAGCTATTTTTAACCATTTGAAGTCTTTCTTTTTTTTTTTTTGACCTACTAAATGGAATGGTCTAATGTAAATAATATTATTGTAAAATTACTCTCATCCTTATTACTTTCTCCAACTCTTTCACCTCCCTTTCCCCTGATATTGAAAAACATAATTATACTAATTTAAATATATTAATTTTATAATAATTTTTAAATAAAAACGTTCATCCTTCTAATAAAATTTTCAAACAATGAAATGTCCTGTTCGGTTTTATTCCATTATACTATGCCCTGTTCTATTTCAACAACAACACTTGCTTTCCATTTTATTATGTACTCTCAAATAGAGCATGAGTTATTTCAGAGTTGGTTGCGTCTCCTCCTCTGTTCCGCATAGATAGAAGGGGGGAAGGGGATACGCGTGCGCTAAACATGAGTAGGTGCCTTTGCTGAAACCAATGAAGACACAGGACGGGACGAAATAAGCCAATTTACCCGTGGGACCATAACATACTCTTCCATTTTAAAGTATAAATAGTTTTTTTTAAAATTAATATATTAATGGAATTTTCATTTTTATAAAAATATATATTATTTTTTTAATTCAATTATCAAAATACTCCATAATGAATTATAAATACATTTATACAAATATTTAGATTAATAAATACAAAAAGGTAAAATTGAAATTTTTTTTACATGTACTAGATTACTTATATTTTAAATCAAAGTTAACTTAAAAAAATGCTTATATTTTGAGTCGGAGGGTGTAAAATTTATTTAGAATCAAACTCAAACAATTCTGAAATTACATTAAAAAATCAAGATTAAATTGAAATTATATTTTATTGGAAAATAATTAAAATGTTTTTCAATTATTTTTTTTTAAAAAACACCCCTCCACTATTGCCAAAACTCCGAAGGCCGGACCTCCACAGCCAGGATTAATTCCTCCAAGGTGGCTTGGTGCATCAAAAATATATTTTTTCTGTTAAAAAATATAAAGCATTTTTAATCAAAGTTCACATCCCAACAAAGTAGATTATTGTCTTTAAACTAACATTATTTTTTTATATTTACCTCTATTTAATAAGATATTTTACTTTAAAGTTAACATAAAGTGATTTATTTATTAGAAGTATTCAAAAAAAAATACAATAATTACACTTCAACACACTAAAATGCCTTATATTTTTAATATTCAACTTTTTAAAAAAATATCTTATATTTTTTAATAGAGGAAGTAATAACCACCAAGTCAATAATGTTTCTTAGCTATACAATGTCAACATAATATATAATAGAATCCAAATTTTCAAATCAAGATTACGTAAACTTGTCACTAATGTTACTTGTTATTTTATCAATGATGCAAGGGTGGCTGGATGTTTTTGAAAAAAAAAAAATGAATGAAGAGCATTTTGATACAAAACATAATTATATTTCATTTTAATCCTTGATCCTCCAGCGTAATTTTAGAAAATTTGGAACTAATTTGAAATAAACATCCTCCTGTCATCCTATCCTGCAGTGAGATTGTCGGTTTAATGTATATACGAAGCCTCGACAATGTCTAGGTTCATCAACGGGTGATGTTGTGGACGTCAGATCATTAAAATTTAAATTCTCAATCGCATCAGTGCGGTCTTAAATGACGGAGTTGGTGGGTTTCCCTTTCCACTTTAGAATCATCAGAGCAGGGGCCGACCGTGATTTCAGAAGCATCATGAACGGCTAACAATTCATGAGCCTCCCAACTTGGGCTATATATCACTGTTCGGCTTGGATTAGATTAGTAGTAAAAGTAGGAGTACAGCAGAATGACGCGAAAGCAATGCGTCATTGGTTTTGGCAAAAAAAAAAAAGGCCCACTAATGCTACAAACCGGAGGACCTCCTTTCTTCACACATCAATTACAAGTCCACTGATCAGGATGAACCGCTTTTGCTTGCTTCTTTGTAGCCTCCACCATTCTCGTGCCTTACCCATCTCTTTCGGATGTATCTATAATAGATATACTGCACTATTATCTGTCGCATGTTTGTTAAGGTTTGGTCCAGTAGTATATAGCAGAGTGGCGGCAACAGTCATAGAAGCCTTGCACCGTGAGTGCATATATATGTATATATATAAAGGATACAAATAGGTCCAGGGCCACGCAAACTACAGCATCCAACAACCATGGCATATTTGCTTTGATGCTCTCCCATTCAATTGTTCGTACAAGAATACTGCATCCACCAGAAAACTCAATTAGACCTTTCTAATTAAATTATAAAGAACATGTCTTTATGAGAGAGGGAAGCTAACCTCGCCACGTAGGTTACATTGGCAATCAAAGCAAAGACGAACATGAGAGGGTTCAAGCCCTGCTTTTATATATGAAAACAGAGACAATAAATTGGTCAAGTACTCATGGAAGCACACGGTGATTGAAGCCAACACAGATGGCAAAACACATACCTCTACACTCCCTCTTTTAATCTGCAGGTCAACAAGGCAATAGCTTTGTTAGGAGGAGACCATAAAACCATACAGAATCCAATGGACACCATTAAGTGAAAACTATTAAAAGACTCACATTCAACCAAATTTGAGGGAGTCGGCCTCCCATGTATATGGCAGCCATGAGCCATCCCAACCATTGACCAAAGGTACTGTGCGCCTCGTGCTCCTGCTGCCAACCCTCCCGTAAGTGATTATCCAAATTAGAGTATCACAAAGTAATATGCATACTTCAGGATGATACGATTAATATTAACAACAACAATAATAGTGTGAACAAGGCAATGGGGGCCTATCCACACCTGTAACAGTTTCCTTGCATTGCCCTGCATGGGCAAGTTAACCGATGCTGCTAAAAATGTTCCATAGCCTGCCTGAAATGATAAGTCAAACGCCATGTGATGTTACCAGATAAAGTCAAGTGGCAAGCGCACTCGTAGGCATCTCCAGAGAAAAGGTGTTAATTACGATGGGAGTAGAGATTGAAGACTCACGGCAAAAGAACGAGGGATGGGTCGAGGTTGGGAGGGAGAGTTGTTGGAGTAAGACGGATGAGCCTCATCGTCGGAGGAGGAGTCAGAGATGAATTCCAGGGCGGAAGGGCCACTCTTGGCTGCTCGGATGTAGGTGCGGAAGGGTGGGGTGCCGCTCCCAGCCAGAGATCTCGCTGACCTGCTCAGTTTTGTTTTTATTCAACACAACCAAAATCACTCCGTCCGTTCTATTTCATTATTAATCACCAACCCGCTGAAATTACATTAATATTTAACCTACGTATAATAGAACATCTCCCTTCGAGGGGCTGGCGATGTTTTGTGCGTGCCATCTGGTATTGCAACTCCAGACTCGTGTCTCGGTTTCGGTCTCAGTGCTTTTTTCTCTTCTTCATCCTATCATTATCCAATACTTATTTCATGTCATCACAGTAAAATCCAGTGGAACGGACAAGACTCGCAAAAATGTCAGGCTAATCTCAGTTGGAGCACGACCAAACTGCAGGGGCTTACCTCTTGGTAATTGTTTTTCTGCCGACTTCGTCTGCAACATTTGTAGATGTAATCATAATACAAGCTTTGCAGTACTAATACAATTGTAGTTGTTGTGTACAGCTGTCAACCACGGCAATTTTCTGCCAGTGAGATTATATCATTTTTTTTTATAAAGTTCTACCTAAAGTCCTACAGTATTACTATATAAATATGCAGTTAATTCCAATTTGATCTAATGAATATCATCAATGGGGTGGGACCAAGTCCTATAATAACTTGCAACAAAGTGAGCCGCATAGGGCAGTGGGAGAGAATCACTCGTAGTTTTACAAAAACTGCATATAGTGAGTTCTAAAATACATGAACTGTTAATAGAAGGTGGAAGTTCCAAGGATTACACCGGACGGACAGAACAGAACTAATTTTTGGAGATTGACATGTGCCACCAGGAGGGCGCTCCAAACCACAACCAACCAAGGCTGGCCACCTAGTTGATTTGGAATTGGATTGATAGACACGTAGTCAACTTTGTCTTGACTCAGCCTTCGATTTCTGTGGAAGCTCCCCCTTACTACCGCCACAGTATATAATTCATTAAATGTTTTTAGCTCTTTTAAACCATTTTCTACTACCCAAGTAGACAAAAAAAGGGAGTCCTACACCTGAAAACGAAAGCAAAATTGATACTGTCATTTACCAGAGCTGTGTATAACTGAGTGGGCAGCTGCATCCGTACGTAAAACCACCAAACAGAAGGGCCAAAAAAAAAAAAAAGGACACAGTTAGTCCACAATCATAAAATAAGTAACGAGCAAGGGATAGGACACATTGGTGGATGATGATGCAGAGAGCATTTTGATGTTCGAGATAAGGTCTACGAGAAAGGCCACACAATTTTCAATTTCAGCTGGTTGTTTTGGCCACAAGTTGAGCTCTCTCTCAGGACCACCACCTGCTACCAAGCAATGAAACAAACATGTCTCACGGTATGTAAGTCCGACTCACCGTGGCTGGCTCCAGAAGACAACCCACCAGATTGAATATATCTCTGCTTCAAAAGTTAACGACGCAAATGAAAAATACCAATTAACCACCAGATTGCTCTGAAAATACATAATGAACTGTGAATCAATGCGATGATTGAATTGGTATAAAATGAAGACGAACCCAGCGACCCAAGTGAGGAGAAAGGCAAGGGAAACCCCATGGCTGGACTTGGTGTGGAAGTTGGTGATAATCTGAGGAATTTCTGCGACCCCCCAGCAAACGAGACTGACGAGCCCGAAAGAGAACGAGAATTCGTCTTTGAGATTACAGAGGCAGTCCTTGAAGTACTTCTCAACCCAACGCACACATGGCTTTCTCTCCCTCACGCAGTAAGAGGGCGTCATTCTCTCTTTCTCTCTTCAGCTAAGCTAGTGTTTTGTTTTGCTGCCAGAGGCTTATGGTGGCTTGGTTTTAAAGGACGCAAACCTTTGGAAATTACAAACCACCACACCATACACGGAAGATAATTCGACAAAATGTATCGCTCTGACTATTTTGTCCCCTTAGGTCCTGATTCGTAAATATGACTGAAATGTTAGGGGCTCAATTGTAAATATGACTGAAGTGTGTGGTATAGACATAGCATATTCTCTCCCACGGTGGTTCCACGGGATCAAGTTGTATCAAAGTTAAGTAAGGGTGGAAATAAGTTAGATGAGTTAGATTTTAATTACGTAAATTTAAGCTTGTGCCATAAGTCAAAGGATGAGTCTGGCTTGAAATTTGTATAAGACTTTTTCACAACTTAAGTTTAAGTCTATCTAAAATTTGATCTGACCTGAAAGCCTATTTAAAAGTCTTCTTCTCTTATTTAAGTTTTAAACATTTCAAATGTACTTTAAAATTATTATAGTATATAATATATGACTCAATTTATTAATTATAATATCTAATAATTGAAAGAATTTATCAAATACAATACAACACGACAATAAAGTAATAATATCAAAATTAATATATAAGTCCAATTTAATTGAAAACATAATTCAAAATAAAAAAAAATAAATTGATTAAAAATTAAATGGTAAAATTAATGTATTTGTAATAAATTACATAATATATATACATGCCAATCTATTGGGCTTGTTGATTAGATTTTGAAAAATTAAACTTAACCTATTGAATTAAATAGGCCTAATTAAAGGCCTGAATTTGATCTAAATTGAGTCTGAAATAGGCCAGGTTATAGGCCCTTATTTCTACCTCCATGAGCCTCGTTGACTCAGAATAGCCTATTGTCTTAATTTAGTAAATAAAAATGGTCCTACTTAATCTATATACACTTAATTGGAATTAATGAAGAAAGAAGATCACCCAGCTTAATATATTAGGGGAGAAAATGTTGTTATTATTTTTTAAATATTTTACCATAGCTTCTGGCTGTCATTGTTATCGATATCATTTCCAGTCATGTTGATCCTGTTTTAAACACTTGAATATGCCACTTCCAGAAGGCTCCTCAAGTATCAATATGACGTTGAAGGGACCAAGGTATAGAACAGAAGATGATTGTGGAATGTGGAAGTGGAAGCTATCTGTTTTCAAACGACTATAAAGGGTTCAAAGAGATGTTGAATTCAAATTGAAGTCAACAGTAAGATTTACTGATTTGTAGGCCATTTATTTTGGGAATGAAAACGCAAGTCAAAACAAGGATTAAGTCGGCGAGCCTGTAAATATTTGGAGTATCTTGTAAAAATTGACGGGCGAAAACCAAATTAGTAGCGATGAAGGGAATATGATCAGTTGGTATGTACTGTCTTTTAACTGCACATTGATGTCACCGTTCACCAACCATTGGGCGTCTGCTACGATTTAAAGAGATCTTAATTGAAAACTGAATTTATCATGTGCATGATATTCATTCTTTGAATATGAAAAAAATTATATTCGAGGCATATGCTTTGGGATATCTCACTTACTTTTGGACTCTTGCCAATCAAATCCGTTCTCGCTGAAACAATACCGCTTCCCAAGTGATGTAAAATTTCATTACCATGCTGCGCACCATTCTGCTCTTTCTGTCACGGACCTGAAAGTAAAATGTACATAGAGACATGCTGGAACACAATGACGACATTCTTCAATATATAGCAGCACTCGTGGTCATGGGCCATGCGGAAACAGATATATATATATATATATATATATAGCTGATAACTTGAAAATCAGAAGCCTGCAACTATATATATATATATATATAGTTGGAATCCATATAGTCCTGAAGTTGGATATTCCTTAGAGGGTAAGCATGAAGTTAAGGTGACAACACTATATATAATTGCTCTCGAGATTGATTTGCTCTAATTTGTGCGCTCATTAGACCCTATCATCTATTCCATGTTATGTTCAATTATTGGCATGTCAAAACCACCCCTTTCCATTACATTTTACTTCATGAATCCCTTCAGTTGCCACTCCCTCAATTGCCCTCCAATTGCATCAAATGTAACTTGGTCTGATGATTACTATGAACGTGCCACCACATGGCCCAGAACTAATGCGCCACCATGTGCTTTGTCAGTTTCTCTGCCGACTCGACTAACTCATAAATCATATATGGTGCTTGAGTTCTACAATGAAATGTGATGCCCGCTGAATGAAGCCCGTTATCTCGGCCAAGTTCAACGCCTATATTTGACAAAAAAACCAGAGAGTTGAAGCATGAATACATAAGAAGGGGTTTCTCGAGACAGCAGGGGTGAATCTGGTCTGCAAAGGTGGCAAGGTTCATGCTCCAAAATAAAACCGCCGTGCTTTAACTTTTTTTTTTTTTGGGTCGACTGGCAACGGGCGGTTCCCATCAGGTCAAAGTGCTAAAGTTGCTACAGATATAGAGTTCAGAAGAAAATAAGAAAAGAAAAGGGGGGTGAAAGTGGGAATAAGAGAAAGAAGTGGAGCGTTTGGGGTAAAATTAGGAAGAGTGAAGAGATGAGGGAGGGAAAAGAAGGAAACTGGGACGCGGAGGAAAGGATTGTGAAAGCGACAAACTCGAGAACGGCATCGGTGCGCTGCAACTTAATCTATTGATGTGGCCTTCATCGTTATCCTTTGTGACGAAGCGCCACACACACACACACACAGATGGAATTCACAGCGCACAGGGTAAGCTTGAAAAGATACAAGAGAGGATTAATGTTTGATTATGTTTGGATTCATGGTTGACCTGAGATGGAGAGATAAACAGAGAGAGAATGAGCGTGCATGCTCTTTGTGGTTGGTGAGGCAGTAATTAACGAAGGAATTGGCGTCATAAATAGAGATAGGAAAACAGATCTCGAGGTAAGAAGACAGGCAAGCTCGATCATTTAAGCCTACTTTTTATAGACTCGACCCTTAAAAAGCTCCAAGTCTTAGAAGTTTATTTTTTAATTTTTTTACTAAATTTTCAAGCTCGTTCTTTATTAAAAAGGTTCAGAACCAAGCTTAAAAGTCTTATTTTAAAAAATAAAAAAAATTAATATTATAAATTAATATTATTTTTTAAATAATAATTTAATTTAATGTTATAATAGTTAATATTATAATTTAACGTTAAAATTTAACAAAAACTAAATCAAGGCATCACATTATTTAAAAAATAAATAAAAAATTTAAAAATTTAAATACATGTTAGTTGATATCATTAGAATTTGTAACAAAATTTTAGAAATAAAATATATGAGCCATATCAATATAATCTTCACATAATAAGATGAGGGATTTAAATTTTTAAATTAAATTAAAATCTTAAAAGCAAGTATCAAATTAAACTATCAAATATTCATGAACTAAAAAAGTCTATGCTTGAAGAGGATTTATTTGAGAGTAAAATAGTCAAAAGATCAAAGTAATAGAGTGTCAAAGAGAGACACACTAAGTCAAGAGATTAGAGGAAGAGATGAGTTGAGAGCCAAAGGGCGAGCAAAGAAGTGAGACAACTTAAAAAAAAAAGAGGGTGAGAGGGAGAGATTGAGTTGAAAGATAAAGAAAACTAAAGAACTTAAAATGATCGAATATTTAAAATTTTTTTTTATTTACCAAATGGTGTATTCTAACATAGAAGAAAAAAAATAAAACAAAATTTTGTAAAGCCATTCCAGCTCAAATTCTTTTCTTAAAACCTATCAGGATTGAGTTCAAAAACTTGATTGCGTTAAAAGTTTTTCATTTTTCAAACTCAAACATTTATTTAAATAAAATTTTTAAATTTAATTTTTAAAATTTAATTTTTATTCTCCACTCTAATTACAATGTTAGAGGCAGGGCGTTGCCATCACCCGTGTACGCGGACACAACCGTACGTATTTGTGTTTTCTACTCTTTCTTGCAATCATTGTGCAATCCACTTGGCACTTTACAAGCGCTGGCGCTTCCTTTTCTTCAACCTCTCTCCCCTATGTATCCATCATCCTCACCTTTTAAGTTTTAGTAAATATTGACGGGCACTTTCAATTGATTTTCCATCTTTTTTCTCATAGCAATTTTCATATTAATTTTTTCTTTTTTAAAAAGGGAGTGTTTTTGGCAGGCTAACCTCTCTTTTTTTTGGGACGAAAAAATGCATTAAAGCTCGGAGGAATAAAATTATTTTTACAAAAAAATGAACAAATTTTAAAAGAACTCGGTTCCCTTCCTAAAGAAATAGTTGAGTTATTAGTTTTATCCAAAAATAGAATGAAGTTATGATCTTACTCATATTTAAATAAAAAATTTTAAATTTATATTATATTTTTTCTCATAATTAATGACTTTAAATAAAATTTTATTAAAAAGTTTTAATTAATATCCCAACAAGTAACTTAAAATAGGAGGTAGTACATGTAAGCAACGAATTTCGGTGTGAATTCTTGACTGAGAAAGCAGCATGCAGGCACATAAACAAGGAAACAAGAGGAGGAGGAGGAGGAGGAGAGGGATCGAGAGATTCGAGACATCTGGATGCTTCTCTTTGGCATTTTAATTTTGAATTTAAAAGGCGTGATCTAGCTAGGAGGATAAGAGTAAGCACGAAGGAGAATTATAAGACGATTGACATCAATTGCTTTTACTAAGATATTTTGCTTCTTTATTTCATGAATGAGAATTCTTGAGTTTACGCTTCCCTTTGTTAATGTGCATATATCCCAAGCAATACTTCCCTTTGTGTTTATTATTAAGGAGTATTCTTTCCGTCTCAATTTATAAATTTTTTTAATTTTTAATAAAAGTACATATATAATGAAATTCATTAAACACAATTTATGATCTTTATTTTTTTATAAACTTCAAAAAAAATAACCTTCATTAATAAAAGAAAAAGGAAAATAAATTTATTTAATGAGTGAAATAATTAGAAATAATATTGAAATGTTAATTATTAATAAAATCTTATTTTTATTAAAATATCTTATAATTTGACGTACCAAAATAATTTGAGATGGAATGAGTATATATCACAAGCCAACTTTATGACTAGTTTTAGGATGTGTAATTGAAATATGGATTTAGAACTAAGAAGATGAAGATCCATAAGCAACTTAAGCTAGACATAGATTAAGATCATAGATGTGGTAGTTGAAAGGCCATGCCTCAATGTATTTAATTGACATGATAATAATAGTACAAACTATTATATTGATGGATTAATTAATAGGATACAACATGATTATTGTCATCATCGTAAATGTGAAAGTCTAAACCAGAGATCATAATCAGTCTCCCCCGCGAATTTCGATTCTCTAACATTGTCCTCATTGCTTAAATCACAATTTATTTATTTTCAGTAATTTATTTGAATAATTTACCATACACGTTATTCTTAATTATAGTTCTTCGGGGTTGAAAAATTAAATTAATTTTGACCCTAAAATACTTGTGATGACTATCAATGCAATTGACAACTATACTTGGGATTTTACATTGACAATTTCAAGACCGAATCGTTGAATGAATATTTCATGGTTGTTTAGTGTTTTCAATTCATCAAGCAATGGTGTGCGAAAATCAACATGCCATCGCAACTGATTAATTAAATGATTGGTTTACAATTTTGTTGAAATATGTAAACTGGAGGGTTGATACTCAGATTAAATTTAGCTCCTTAATTAAGATTTTCAATTACAATAAAATACGGTAAAAAGAATTGCCTCTACAAAAATAGCTCCTCCCCAACACTGGACGCTCCCCTGACCACAGATTAACACAACAACTCAACGCATTCCAAGTGTCACTAACCACTCCTACTGTATATTTAGTCCTCCCTTGCACTTCTAATTCTCCAAACCTCAATCCTCATTCAATAATACTCCCTCCTTTCAGATATCTTGCAATTTCTCTCCTCACATTGCATGCACATATGGCCTCTCAAAGCTTCAATTCTATCATGTGCTACTCTGCTCTTGCTATTGCATTCCTCTCCTGCCATTGGTTTTGCCAAGATGGCTGGGTTAAGCATAAATGTGATTGATCAATGCTAGAGAATGAACTCCCAATGGTGGAGACATCGCTCACAGCTTGCAACCTGCTATGTGGGCCACACGAGGAAGATGACCGATAATATTGGGAAACACCTCATCCATTAGAAAGTCACTGATCCTAGTGATGATCCAATAAGCGCCAAACTTGGCACGTTGAGATATGGAGCTTCCATGATTCAACACATAGTGTGGATCACATTCCCAAGAGATATGCACATTAAGCTTCTCAAACCCCTCCTCATTAGTAGCTTCACTACCATTGATGGCCGAGGCGTTGACGTTCACATTGGTCGTAACGCGTTCTTGATGGTATTCAAGGTACTCTATCTAATCATTAATTTCTTCTCACACCTATTATTAGTTTAATAAGTAACTCACAATTGTGTTGTGCTTTTTCTTTTTTGGAATTAATAAGAAACCAACATAATAATACATGGCATTCATATTCATCACTATAAGCCCCAAATTGCTGGGATGATGATGGGTCCAACGAGTAAGGTTATTCAAGTGGGTTAAGTGGACGGAGATGTAATCAAATTGGTTACAGACTCCAAAGTCTAAATTGACCAGAATACATTGTATGATTGTCAAGATGGTCTTGTGGATGTCACAAGGAGTTCCATCAATGTTACCATCTCTACCAATTGGTTTAGAGGCCAAGACAAGGTTATGCTTTTTAGACATGATGGTGGTTATGCTAGAGACAAGAACATGAAAGTCACCATAGTGTATAACCATTTTGGACCTAAACACAACCAACACATGCCCAAGTATGTAATTAATTAATTAGCAACTTATAGTTTTGTGTATGAAACGTGTCTCATGTGATGATAACATTGCAAAATTCGTTATGGGTATGCACATGTAGACAATAACTTCTACTTAGGATGGGTGCAATATGCTATTGGCAGAAGTATGGGACCTAGCCTCAAAAGTGAAGCCAATCTTTCATAGCACCAACATCCGGAAAAAAAGGAGTTGAGGAGGAGTTTGAGCAATTCATTAAATTTGCTTAAAAAAAACCTATGCATATATGAAGGTTGAGCATCATACCTAAGTGATACAAGTTTGTACTAATGCATGTGAATAGGTGACATGAAGAAAAGAGAGCAATGGAAATAGGAAAGGGTGGGAATTTCATTCAGTGAGGGTGTGTTTGAAAATGGAGTTTGCTTCACAAAAACAAAAGGAGCATGCACGCCAAGACCCTATTATAAAAATGAACAAATTTTTGAAGTTGTAGATGCCAAATATGTGAGGGCATTAACAAGTTTGTTAGATGCCTTATGTTGTACCAAAACCTCTAGATGCAGAGATTAGAGATTTACTTTTAATATTTTCGGATTATAAACAATCCACCGGGGATTTTAACTTTTACTATTCCCGGATTCTAAACAATTCACCATGTATTTAGCCTGTTTTAATTAGCTTCTTATTACATTGCTTTCCCAAGCTTATTATAATTTGGTTGCTAGTAGATGGGTATGCTGGCTACATTCTACATTTAATTAATTAAAAAGCACTTCTTAACATATGTTGTAACATTGCCGTTGAATATTGTGCTTATCATGATCCATTTAAATCATTTATGGATGTTCAGGTTAAGTCATGACACGCAGTTTCCATTGATTTATGAGGAAAAAGAGACTGAAAAATATAAAATAGTAGTTAACAAGATCAAATACGGAGGAAGATAAGGGGGAAAAAAAGCAGAGTTTGGTTAATCTAAGTTGAGCAAGTAGTTACGGAACCCCCCTCAAAAAGTTAAAGAAAAAGGGTGATAAGTTATAACCTCGGGCTATTTTATTTTATTTTTGGGTAATTTAATAAGATAATGTATCTCAACTTTTTAAAAGATAGGAACAGATGCTAATGTACATAAGGAGTTCTCCAAATTTCTACCTAGCCAAGATCTAATTGAGCTAGAACGTGTTGGGTATTTTGACCACACATGTTTCAAAAATTAAAAGTCATAAAAAAAAATATCCACCGGTAACAAATTCTGACAAAAAAAATTTCTTGATGTAAAAATGCTCTTATTATGTATTGGCATCACTCTGTTAATATATTCAATTCAATATATTAATAGCGGAATAAACCTTTTCGGCCAAAAACATAGTAGAAGAAACCAAATGTGATAGTGTCCATGAACATATTTTTAAGGCCACATATCATTCAATATTTAAGATTTGTGATTTGATCGACAATGGTTTTTTTAAAAGAAAGAAGATCCTTCCCGTGGGATGTTTTTTGTGGGGCGACATTGATTAAGCGGTGTTGAACATGGCACAGGCCGTTACGACGACATATGCCCGTACAGTACAGGATCATTGAGCCAAGCCAATGGCCACATATATGACTTTCTGAGGGGCTGACCGTTTGGTTTGGAGCAAAACATTTATCTTGTAAACAGAAAATTGGGCAATACATGGTTTATGTGGTCATACAACATAGGAAAGGATCTTCCAGAATCAGAATTGGGCATATCCGGGAAAGAGTGGCAGATTGATTGGAAGGTTAGGTTAATTGTGAAGACAAATGCAAAATGACAATCGTGGGCAATAAGCAATGCATCATTGATGTGGAGTGGAATGGTAGGTGAAGGCCACGCAAACATGGATGCTCTGCAGACAGGATTTCGTGATGCCGTTGCAAGCCTTGCTTATGCATTCGAAGCTGCGATTTCTACATCTATTGCCTCGAAATCTAGTAGTGCCCAAGCTGCCTTTCAATGGGGTGGAAGCATCATCGACTTGTGAGTCGTTTCTTCTCTCTCCGTCAGTATCATTCTCTACTCCCATGTACACTTGCTTAAATCCTTCTTTCTAGCCAATTCGTCGGAACTTTTAACTTCAGGGATTTCCTTCCCGTGATTTATGTGTCCGAGGGTTTCCTGTTGTGTATTATTGGCATACATAGATGATAGATCGATTAACGGTAAGCTTCCTAGGAGTGAAATAACAGTGACGATTGCTGGATTTTAGTGTCGGCAAACAATGTTACGATTATATTTCGTTCTCCCATGTTGGCATTGAAATGGCAATATTTAGGAACGAGCGAAGTAGATGCCTGATTTTACTCAATGCTTCTCGCTTTCTTAGGATAAATAACAAACAATACTCCCTTCACGCTATAATCAAAGCAATTGAATTGTATAATCTGTAATGTCTTGAAATATTGCTTCCCAATTGTCACTGATGATTCCTTTGCAAACTTGAAGATCCTTGCTTAGCAAATCTGGCTAGTCGTTAGTTAGAGAGCTTTCCTATCGGATGGTCGATTTGCATTACTTGATCGTCTGTTCCCAAAATCTCCCAAAAAGGAGGAAATCTCTTGCTTATCCTGGAGCTCAAGTCAGCATGATTTATTGTAATACGGGACCAATGACGCTGCAATGTCTTGTTTTTTGCTAGTTCGAAGTTCTTACGAAGCCTAGTTTCAGTACTGCTGCGATATAAAATATACTCTTGGGCTAATGTGTTCAGTGCCCAGATATTGTGATGCTGAAATGCTCCTAAACAAAAGACAAATGGGCTGTTAAACTGCTAAATTTTATGAGACTCTCATTGTTATAATGTTCGGTTATGGCTTTTCATACAGGCTTTCATGGCAGCATTCAGTATTCCCCCATAGTGATGTATCCCCCCACCCAAAGAAAAGAAAAAATACGTGTTAATCTGAATTCTGAAGTATTGAGCTATAGAACCTTGCATTTGAATGTTGAAGCTTATAAACATATACATATACATACATACATACATACATATATATATTAGCTTTTCTCATGTCACACAATCCTTAGATTTTGTGCGCCTTTGTTCTACAGGTTTTTGTTGGTTTTGAATCGATTTGGACAGGACTCACGCACACAAAGCACCCTTTTAGTGTTATATCTCTTCACAAGTTTACCAGAAGTACTGTTCAGAATTTTAAGGTGCTCACCAGATTTCCGAGACACATTGATTGACTATATTTCAATTCAAGATAAAAAGAAGCCTTTGGTCAACTATCTAGCCTTTCAACTTTCAAGTTTATAAATCGCTGATTCTAATATGCAGGGAACAATTTGGCTGCTGGGTTGCTTTCCTTGCAATTGTAGCAAACGTGTTTTTCCCTCACACTTTTCCAGTTCCAGGTTTGATTTTCTTGCTGAACATTTCCTAATGGATCCTATGCTAAGGCTGGTGTCATTTCAAAATTGTAATGATTCTGGATTACTTTTTATTCATGCAGTCTCGCGTTTTCTGCTATTTGTGATAGCTCCGAATTGGATTGCTCATGGACTAAGAAATAGCATGGTAGGCGGAATTTTTTGTCTGGCAATAGGCATTTCAGTTGTCATTGTCCAGATTCGTGGCAATGGGGGATTTCGAAACTGCAGCTGCAATTTCCACTGCTTCGCCTATTATCTTTGTATAGCATTTCTTTTCTTCTTCATCATATTGTATCTGTGCTTAGGAAATTGGTAGATAAAAACCATCCCTAGGAGGGGGTGTAACTGTGTAAGTATAACTTTGCCGTAGCCCTTACCTTTAAGATTGCAAATATATTTCTTGACGACCAACGGACCAAGGTGTGGTACATGGAGGTGTTGATACGGTGTCAAAGTCCGCAAGTAATAATTTTGATGGGGGATCATACTTCGTACTCGTAAGAGGTAGTGGGGAAGTTAAAGCTTCTCTCGGATTCATGCTAATGGAGAAGCATGACTTAAAGTCAAAGATTGGCGGCGCTGTGTCCGGGACAAATTAGATTCTTGTGATTCAGTCTACTGTCAATGGTATTCATTGTTCATCATTGAATTTATTTGTACACTCATTGGCTACAAGGGACTTCATGCCGATGGTTTCTCTGCCTAATTTTATAGGCTTCACCTGCTCTTCCCTTCTTGATGAATATATTAATAAGTCGTCGCTTCTGCGAGTGGGCAGATAAGTATTAGGAACTAGAATTTATGAGTTGGGTCTTTCTCTGGTTTGGCTCGATTTTCCCGCTCCATGTATGGTTCCTTCGGTCCTTTTCTGAGATTCATCAGTATTTGAAAGTCATCTGTGGATTTCATTATTTTATAACAAATAATATAACTTTATTAATCTTTGCCTATGTATGTGGGTTGAATTTGTTACATTATTTTTTTTATTAACCTATATTTTTACTCAGTTTATTGTCCATTTTTAACGAAATGTACAACTGGTAACACTTAATTAATTACACGGTAAGCGGTATAGCGTGCGACTGCCTCCTTGTCTCTGTTTTTTCCCCGGCAGAGCATATAAATATAATACTCACGGGCCAAAGTTCTTAACTTTAAAAATAATAAATTTGCTAAGTCGTGTCGCTCTCTTTTAATTTTATTTTCATTATTCAAGTGAAGAGATAAGGAAGATAGTCAAGTAAGGAGCGGAAGATTGCCTAAAAAAATGAACAAGGTGGTGACATACAAGCCTTAATATCAGTTGGAGAGACTTGGTCAACAGAAAAACGGTGTGCAGAATAACGTAGCCAATAATTCAACTTGAGAAGAACCAATTCTAACCTTAATACAGACTGTAATCTTCTCAGAAATTGCGCTACTTATTTTCTATAACTCTGACCAATGATTCAATGCGTGAAAGAAAAATAAATAAAGCAACATATACTGTAGGACCCCTATAAATGTCACATATTGTTTGAGAATAAGCCTCCAGTAATCAGTGATCACGCAGACCACCATTTCTTCCTTCCCACTTGACTGCAATCACAATGCGTCCATTGTTCCTCATCCCAGTCTTCTCTTTGGCTCTGTTCTGCGGCTTCCCTCTGAATCTGGGGCAGCAACCTTATATTGGCTTGGGCACAGTAGCCTGTCCTAGAAAGGGCAATTCAAAATCTATTCGTGGTTACACTTGCAACGGCCTTGCTCACAGCTGCCAAGCTTACCTCACCTTCAGATCTCAACCCCTTTACTACTCCGTTTCCACAATTTCTGCTTTGCTTGGCTCCGACCCTTCTCAGCTCTCCGAGATCAACTCGGTTTCTCTGAATGCCACTTTTGCAGCTAATCATCTGGTGATTGTCCCCGTTAACTGCTCTTGTGCAAGTGACTATTATCAGACTAACACGACCTACACCGTCCACAACACAGAAACATATTTCTTGATTGCTAACAACACTTTCCAAGGTCTCTCAACCTGTCAAGCTCTCATGGATCAAAACGACATTCCTGGAGATTTATTCCCCGGTACAAAACTTAAGGTCCCTCTTAGATGCGCTTGTCCCACAAAAAATCAAACTGACAAGGGTGTCAAGTACCTATTGAGTTACTTGGTAGACCCGGGTGATTCTGTTTCTGTCATCAGTGAAAGATTTGGTGCACTCACTGATCTCACTCTCGAATCAAATAGCCTTTCTTATCAAGACTTTATATATCCCTATACCACACTTTTAGTGCCCCTTCAACATGAACCCAACATCACTCGAATCGTGGTGTCTCCTCCTCCACCATCTCCTTCATCCCCACCTTCGTCTTCTACCTCAGGCGGCAGCTCAAATAAGACCTGGATATATGCAGTTGTTGGAGCTGTCGGAGGTCTTGTCTTGATATCATTCCTCCTCGGTATCCTTGTTTTCTGTAAACGGCGTCCCAGAAGCGAAAAGAAAGATGATTCTGCAATAGTGTCCGAGAGTTTCGAGGCAACAGAGAAACCAGAAGGGAAAAAGGTCGGGGAAGAGTCTGAAACGTTGTTGGAGATAATATCCGGCATAGCCCAAACTTTCAAAGTGTACGGATTTAAGGAACTACAGCGTGCAACGGATAATTTTAATTCAAGCTGCTGCATCAAAGGGAGTGTTTATCGTGCTATGATTAATGGTGATTTGGCCGCTATTAAAAAGATGGATGGCGATGTGTCGAAAGAGATCGCAATTCTGAGCAAAGTCAACCATTCTAACGTGATACGCCTTTCGGGCGTCAGCTTCAACGAGGGCCATTGGTATCTGGTTTACGAGTATGCCGCTAATGGATCCTTGACTGATTGGATCTACGTCAACAACTTGGACGGAAAGTTTTTGACTTGGAGTCAGAGAATGCAGATAGCATTGGATGTGGCCACAGGACTTGACTATCTCCATAGTTTCACCTCTCCTCCTCTTATCCACAAGGATCTCAAGAGTGATAACATCCTTCTCGACACTGATTTGAGGGCCAAGATTGCAAACCTGGGGCTTGCAAGGTCCGTAGAAGGAGAGGATGATCAATTCCCTGTGACGAGGCATATTGTTGGAACAAGAGGCTACATGGCTCCCGAGTATCTAGAAAATGGCATTATCTCTACAAAGCAAGATGTTTATGCATTTGGGGCTGTGATGCTGGAAACGCTAAGTGGAAAAGAAGTTGCTGCTATTCATTCAGAAGATCAAGGGAGTTTATCAGATGTCTTAAGTGTCATTCTTGATGGGGACCGAGGGGAGGAGAAGCTGAGGGATTTTATGGATCCTTGCCTGAATGGAAACTTTCCATTGGAACTTGCTGTGTTTGTGCTGAGAATGATTGATAATTGCTTGAAGAAAGATCCAGCGAGTCGCCCTGCCATGCATGAGATAGTGTCGTCTCTTTCTGCAACGTTGAATTCTTCATTGGCCTGGGTCTCTGGGGACTTGAGCTTTAGCAGGAGCTCTTAATTTTACCCGACATGAAACAAGACACTTACCGCCATCTTTTGAGGGTAAGCTTTTCATAGAGATAACAAAAGTATTGTTTCAATCGACATGATTCCAAACACACTTGAATAATTGTTTCCTGTTTGCTGGCCAAAAAATAGAAAATAAAAAAAAATTCCTGTATTTCGTCCATCCGTCAGTCAGTATGTTTATGGGATCGAATGCGTCAAACACTCTGTCCAAAGTTTAGGTAGTACAGCATTGTTCATGCAATATGGTATAAGCATTGGTCAAAAAAGAAAAAGAAAAGTTTAAGCATAATAAGCAATTCATTTGACGTTCAGGAACGATGTTGGGGTGACTAGAAAAACGGACTTCGTGGGCCATGACTATTTATTGTTTTTGTCTGAGGCCGTTCTTTTTTTCTCCCTACTCAGGCCAAATTTTAACCATTTAAATTTGTTCATTTATATTTTATTATAATATAATAATTTTGTAAAATATTAAATCTTAATGTGATAGGATGGGAATGATAAAAAGAGAGGATGAAGAGATGATACAAGTACGTCAAAAAAAAACAATACAAAAGTAATTGGCAGAGCAAATCAACTAAAACTGAGCGAACGGTTTAGTTGGCTATTTTCCAAACAAGGAGTAACTGGCATTTCCAACAAATTAGTATACCCACATGCCCAGCTTCGAGTATAAACTTAGAAGACTTCATTTATTCAACATTAAATATTGATAACACAGCTTCGAAATCATAACCCGATGGCCATAAAAATAATTACTCCTGGAGAAAAATAAATAGATAAAACCATTTTAAGTGCTCATCTAAATGGTAAGGGGGATGGAATTGAATGGATACGTCACCAACGCAAAATAGAACTAGACCTGCAAAAAGCTTGCATACTTGGCACCTAAGAAGAGCCGTTGGATACAGAGCAGTGCATTTTTAGTGACCTCAGCGTTCTCATGATTCATTAGTTTCATCACCCGTTCCTTGGCTTTAAGGTCTGTCACTATGATTCTCCCAGCAGGATGATGTTGGACGAACTGTGAAAGGTCAAAGCATGCAACAGACAGGCTCCTTGGATCACCGGACGTGTCTAAAATTGTCAGTAGGACCCTCAAAATCTGCAACAGATGAAGATTTAAGTATAACCAAACCAAAAACATTACAAACTAAATTAGAAAGACTTCTCTCCGAAGGTAATATGCAACAAAATACAATATAATTGATCTTTTCTTTCTGATTACTGAATGGCACTTCATATACCATTTTATCTCTTAAACAAATGTGTCCTTTGAATAGAAACTAGATATCTTTTTTCCCATATGATGCACGGGAAAAACAATAACTTCAAAATTTCTCAAAGATTGTGCTATTTATCTAATATTGAAATCCTATTAAATCATGCCGAGGAATATTAAAAGGAAAAATGTGGCACGGAACCTAATCTGTAGAAAGATTAAAAACAGGGAGAAAAGGTCACATGGGGTCTAAGAGATGCCACATTTCCATTTAAATTTCATATTTCATATAAATATTGATATTGATCGTCCACATTAGTTCAGGGGGCAAAGTAGCACCCATATTTTGTTGAAGCATATCCCAGCCTCATTCACCCGATCCATGAGCAAAGGAGATACTGTTGCACCTAAAAGGGTTTTAACCCTGGACGAGAAGAATAATTGTGCTACCAACTATTGCTAGAGTTCAGAAAGAAAAAAACCTCTACAAATTCAAGATATGTAGACATAGAATACAACATGTGTTATCTAACCAAATAACTAAGTATCTGAGCAGAAAAGCGTGCAAGCCAGACAAAGACTATTAAGCACGAAACCATGTTCATCAAGGTGAACCAATTATGAGCGCCGTCAACACCAATAAATTGTTTCAATACCTGTTGGAGATCCAGAAATGAATTTCTTCATTTTCTTTTATACTCCATGAGATGATATGCAAGTAATATGGTATGTTATGGCCAATTGTAATTGAAAAATTTTTTTTATTTTCTCAGCCGACTATTGTGAGTAACACCTTAAATAAATCTCTGAGCACAAAAAAAAATGAAGATTAATGCAGAGATACCTGAAAGTCATTTTCTTCAAAGTTGGGAATGTTTTCTCGCCAAAATATAGGATCTTTGTGCATGGGAGACCAATCCAGGTTGCCAAGGAGAACTTCTTGCTTATATTTATCAAAAGAACTAAGTTTCTTAATGTTATCCTTAAGCCCTTCTTCCAGATAATTCAGTGCCTCCAACAAGTCCTATGATAAACCTCCAAATCAATAAAGGTGTTGAAGAAGAACCAGAAGATAATTTTCAAAGAGAAGAATGGGAGGGCAGGCCCCCTCGGAGGGGGGGTGGTTCAGAACCCCGATCAGAGTTTATAACTTATGCCAAAATTCGAGAATAATAAGATCTCAAATAGCTGGGACAAGAAGATCATGCTTAACACAAAATACAGTCACATCAAGCCTAAGTAGGAGCAAACATAATGAGTGATTTATGAACCTCAGTTCGTGCATATCCAACTTAGCCACACAACGCTTTTATGCACATAGGAAACAAAAATGCCACTGTAAGCATCAAATCGACACGTAACTTGATTCCATTGACTTCAAGACCAGTCGTCCATTGCCTATCACTGAATTTTATAATGGGGTATAACGAGTCCCAAAGAAAATGTCATCCAATTTTCTATTAAAGATGTACAAACACTAACAAAAATGAGCCTTCTAAATTTGTAGACATTCAGCAGGCAATAAAGGCAGGGTGTGTATAACAAAATGGGACCAATTTTACCATTTAACCGCAGCCTATCAACATCAAAGATCATACATATAATAGTGATCTAAATCACATTGGAAACATGGAGTTGATTGTGAAGAGCCACATGACCACAATTCAATGGCAAGACGTATATCATGAATAATTTCTGGTGACTGATATCTGCAAGAGAACTACAATATTTTTTCACCCTTTAGGCATCATACTTTTAGCATAACCATAAAAAGCATGATTGTATCTCATCATCTCACCTCATCACTCCATGCCTGTGCTTTCAAACTCTGAACAACTTGTGGCAGCTGGAGGTCAACCATTTGAGCACCCAATGTCCCTTTTGACAGCAAGTTCTTGAGAGTTAATATCACTACTCTAACAACCTGATAAAAATTAGACAGAACAAGTCTTTTAACATCAGATCTTTATACTAGCTAAAGTTAAAAACAAATCTAGTTGCTTGCATGGGTTAATTGAAAAGTTAATATCATAGCAGTATTGCAGAAAACAAAATTTCAGCCAAAAGCAGTCAATTAACCCATGAACAAGGAAAGATAACGCCAAGAAGAAACAAATGAGAAAAGTATTTTATTGATAAAAGGAATGTAAGATGAATATAAGCTCAAAAAGCCAACAGTACCTTCTCTTTAGTAGAACTTTTAGCAACATCAATGAGTCGGGGAAGGGTTCTTGAAGTAGCCAGATATTCAATTGCTGGCTCATAATAGGATAAGAGCCATATGCAGAGACATGTTTCATATAGGAGCTGTTACAAAGAAAATTCTCCATTAATTTTTTCCCCACACAAATATTCTTTCAATTCTGACATTTACTAATTTCAATCAGTTATTTTTTTAATGAATAAAATTTATTAAAAAAATTGAGGATCCCACAATCACCCTCTCCACCATTGTTCTTGGGAAGCAAGTTCCCTTGATAACCTGTATTAGATGCATCATGCTTATCCAGCTACCTATTGGCAGGATTCATAAGGGCCAACTGAATCTGAAGCCAGTAATAAACCTTCTCAGCCAGTGACAGGGTCCAGACATACCTGAATAGACTGTTGGGTGGATGCTGGAGAAATCAAAGGTACAAGCAACTTCACCCCACCTGCCTGAACAAAGGAAGATCTAACCACAGGTTCCTTAAGAAGAGCTGATAAACAGTTGATAGCAGTTGGCACACCACGACTAGGATGAGTAGGGTTCCTCAGCTACGGACCATAATATGATGAAGGTGAGAGAAAGCATATTGGAATCTTCTTGCAAAATTTAACGCAAGTAGCATGATATTTGTGTAATCCTAGACAAGATCGCACCAAGTGACTACAGATCTAGGTGTGTATCTGCAAAATCTGGCTTGTGCAATTCTGTTCTTAATTATAACCAAGTCACTCATTTATTGTGTCACAAGCTTGTACTTGAAAATCCTGCACTTTCATGCATGTCAAGAACTTCTATTAGTAACGTGATCTGGTGCATTATCAACATTTTTGTTAATTCCTCTTTCTGCAGTCAGTGTCGTGAGAAAGAAACCATGGCAAAGCCTATAGCTCTCACATCTGTATTAAATTGGACTAATATCTTTGTTAACTTACTCTTCCTATGCCCTTTCCATATCCTATGCCCTTTCCATACAGATATTGTGGATTAGCAATACTGCATAATAAAAATTCTGCCTCTTTCCTCTCTTAAGTAGTTCACCCATTCTATTATCATCTATATTTACTAGGATTTTTGTAATCCAAAATGAGTATATCGTCTAAGACACACTTAGTTTTTTGGGCTGAGGGAATGTTCACCAGATGATACGTGATGCAGAATGAAAGACTAATAACAAGAAATACACAAATTTTCAAATTATTCTAAAATCAGTCAATCATAAAAACCAAGGGTTACTATTTTATCAACCAAAGCCTACTTAAGAGGTGACAATAATAAGAAATTTTAATCTTACATGAAAATCAGAATATAAATTTTAATCCTGACAAAATAATACAAAGGCCACGACATTAGGCAGATATCAATAAAATATAAATATACATAATATATATATATATACTTATCTTCCCATCTTGCATCAATAAATTAACTTGTTCTATTTAATCATTTGGCAAGCCCAAAACTAGGCGACTCTGCCCACTACATATTTGCTTTTAATCGCACTTATATTTTTCACAATGAGATTATACATTTGGGAAAGCCTCGATAGTTTGAATTTTCCACTTCCTTTAGAATATTCCATTCTTACAGTTCACAACATCAAGTTGTACAAAGACTTAAAGGGAATTGCTGGATCTCATATAACGTGAAAACTGAAAAATGTTTGAGCTTTCTCAAATTCAATAAATTGAGCGTATTGACTAGCAAAGTAAAATTTTTATCCTTTTCTCTTAGAAGCAAGCACTTTCTTCTGGGAAAGACTTTGAGATATCTTAAAGTGATCAACTATCCATCACATCACGTTTTTCGGCTGGTCAATTACATCTGACTAAGAATGGGATGGAACTTAAGCTTCAGAATGCAATACCTGTTCACAGAGCCATTTTACCAATTCTTTTAAAACATCATCAATAGTAATAAATGGCTTCTTTGATTTCGATACTTCTCCATTTGCAACACTGCTGTCCTGATTTTTTGGCCTTGCACTACATTGACAAAGTGGTTGGAAATTGGAAGTACTTAAAAAATAACTTAGACAACAAAATCTACAACTTCACACAAGTCTTAAGTCCTAGAGTTAAATGTCAAAAGGCATCATAGCAGTTTTACCTAACTACTAAAGCAAGGATCTTACAACTTTTCTCTTGTATGAACCAATTTCCTTTCCAAAGCAATCTGAAAGATGGACAATAATGTTACTTTTACTTTCCAAAATTTTATAGTAGAAAGTAAATACATAAGATGATAGAAACTAAATGACATCATCTCAATCATGAGGAAATAAATCTCATTACTAATCAAATTTTAAAAAATCATCTGGTAGGAAAAAATTGTGGAAACAAAAATCAATCCACCCTCTCTTTAAAGTGCAGTTTAAGTGTTACTATAGTGTATGACAACACATTTCTATTTATGCATGAATACATGCATTGCAGTGAAAACGAAGATTAATTGTCCTGGGAATGAAAATTTAAAAGATCAAAATCTCATTTTATTGGTTCTTATGCAGTAGGAATACTGAAAAAGAAATATATTGGAATGGAAAGCTAGTATGTTCATCTCCAGTTGAAGCACGATATTACTCCTTAAAGAAACTTATTAGTGGCCTCTAAGTTGAAGAAATGCCACATTTATACAACATTGCTTAAACAAATGATGGCATTTTCTGTGAGAAGAAATTATTAAAAACTCAAAAATAAGATGGAAAAACAAATGGAAACGAAGAAGTGAGCTTCCGCCATTTTCAAAACCAGACAAAAGTTAATAATTAAGCTGCTGAACTTTTTTTTTTTTTTGGGAAAAAAAAAGAAAGAAGGAAAGAAGCCGCTAAACATATTTTAATCACTTAACTTAAGAAAGGTTCATAGGCATCATCATCTGCAAGGGACTTATCATGAAACAGCCTAGCTCTTTTTGGATTTGCTGCAAAGGGAAATAAATAAAAGGTTATCCAGCTGGTTATAATGCATAAGGAAACACCAATTTTATCCAATTACCTGTAAGCATTTCATCTATTAAGGCCAGAACATATTCCACTGTCTCATCTTTATGTATATCACGCAAAACATGAACAAATACACGTACATAAGCTGGACCACCCTGCCAGAATGAATTTGAAATTTCAATACCATTATATATTAAAGTCAGGAAAGATTCATAGATCTACTTCAAGAAAATTCATCTTATGATACAAAGGGAAAGAAGATAAATTTGGTAGCAAGCTGAACTTAACACTACAAAAAACATAGAATAAATTTTAGTAACAGAGTTACATCATCCAGCAACTGTGCTCTTTGACTTTGTGATTTGTGATCATAACGCCTTAAGAGCTGAAGGCTTGTGCCTGAGATCAACTTTGTGCTCATATACGTCTCCCATGGTATATCCCTACGAAGAACCTTCAAAAGTGTCAACAGAATGTCAATAGAAACACCACCATAGCACCCCACTCGATAATCAATATTATAAAATATAGCAGATAATTAACAAACGCATTATAGAAGCCCGATCAGATTCAAGTAAATCAAACGAAACTTAGAGACAGATCGAGCAATGAAAGCGAATTACAAAATCAAAGATTTAAATAGCAAAACAAGCGAAGTGTACGGGTCACAAACTTGTTCAACAGTTAATTCTGCCAGGTCCATGCTGCTAGAACCGTACGAGTGGGAAAGTTCACTTCAGATGGTATCTGAAACTCAGAATTCGAGAACGGAGATCAGGGTTAAAAATCAACCTCGCACTAAGCTCCGGATTACTTCACATAATTCTGACCAGAAAAAAACGGAGACAGAGAGAAAATGAAGGGAGGTAGAATGTACGAGCGAGACACGGAAGCTCACCTCTTCCCCTTCGCAACTTCCGGCACAGCGATTTTTGGCTCCTTGCCAGTTCCCCTCAACTCTCATCGCCTATCGCGATCCTCCAAATAACAATTACGTTAGCCCGCTGCCACGTGGGTCCTTGCTTATTTTTATTACCGATGATTATTATTACTAACTAAACATGTCTAGGCATGTAAGAGGAATTTTTGATGAGATAAAGATGAAATAAGTAAGGAAAAAGTTCCGTATGAAAATAGAGAAAATTTCAGTCAAGAACTTGAGAAGCGCCTTAATTTTACGTGAATCTAAAAACATTATAAAACTTTAATTCAGTACAGGGAAGAAAAATAAAAAAAATTCAACTTTAAAAAGATTAAAATATCATTTATATATTATACAAAATCACTAGTTGTTAATTTTTTTATTACACTTATTATTTGTTAATTTGCTGACTTTACTTATTAATTTAATAACATCAATTGTAAATTACAAGACCTTTCAGTAATTCACAATTGATGTTAGTAAATTACAAGACCTGTCAAGAATTTACAACTGATATTAGTAAATTAACAAGTAAAGGTAACAATTTAACAATTTATGTTGCTTCTTATGATTGAAAAACTAATGTTGCAAATTTTATATAGTTATTGACATGTTAACTTATGTAGTTTGCAATTCATATTCATAAATTAATAAGTAAAATAAAAAAAATTAACAACTAGTGATTCTGTATAACATGTGAAAGACATTTTGGTCTTTTCACCGTTGAAATTCTTTTAACTTTCTTCCCGTAGAATGAATTAAAATTTTATAATATTTTTAAACTCACCTGAAGTTAAGTCTCTTCTTGAATTCTTAATTGAAATTATTCTAAGAAAATATTTACCCATATAATGTTTATTGTTGTTGAGATTGAAATGAAAAGAGAAATAGAAAATAGAAATAAAAATGAGAATATACCAAAATACCCTCATGAATAAAACATATAAAAATCCATCATGCAAATCAATTCCTGTGCCATCCATCTCATGCTACAAGCACCCTTTCTCGTTCTGACTTCCTGTTCCACCATCTTCCCACCATTCTTTGGATTGGACAATCTAAACTAGAATCCATTCATCAAGCTCTTATATGTGTATCTGGCAATCGTGGACTAATTCTAATATGTTGAGACAAGTGAACTTTCATAAGTCTTCATATGGTGTTTCAAATAGCTAGCATCCTTCAAACGAAGGGTTTTGTCATATTAGATGTCAATGATTAGAGTTTTTATTGTGAACCACAAGCTAAAATTAGGTAAAGCAAGAATTAGAGCTTATGTGATTAGGCATTTGAGATTTTCAATCTCTTGTTAGGCCTTAGCAAACCACTTGAAGCCATCCTTCTCTAACAAGTTAGTTAATGGGCTAACGACATGGGCGTGTTTCCTAATAAATCACCTATAATACCAACTATGACCCAAGAATCCTTTCAACCGGGTCACAATCTAAGGAATGGGCCACGATAGAAGTGCTTTGACTTCAGAGGGATCCATCTCTACACCTTGGGCTGTCACTACATGGCCCAAACTCAGTCCTTTGTTAACTAAAGGACTACTTAGTTAATTAACCAAAGGACCTTAGGTTGTCACTAGTGCTCTTTCAACAAACCTAAAACAAGATCCATGTGCTGCAAGTGTAACTCTATGTGCGACTGTAAATTAAAATATCATCAAAGAAGATGAGCACAAACCACCAAAGATGTTGCCTGAACACACTATTCATGAGTGATTGTGATAGGATCCAAGATAGATAGAGAGAAATAAGAAAGATAAATCTCTGTTAATATAAGGAATCAAAATCTAACTTTATAATATTAATAAGTGAACATAGAACTGATAGAAGTAAATATAAAAAATAAATCTATCAAGATGATATAGAACAAGAATCTCATTCTATACTTCTCTCAATATTCATGCTTAGGAAAATTTTCAAAAGATCAAAAGTATCAAAAGTCTATTTAATTTATGATATGCATGCTTCTAAATTTCTAAGCATATTTATAATGCTAAATACAATCTAAAATAATAAATAAATTTTAGATAACTAGATAATTAAATAAAATTGAATAAAATCTCCTAGAATCTAAATCTATATAAATACTAAATGAAATCTAAAGAAATAAATATCTAAATAAAATCTAAATAACTAAATATCTAGATAAATATATAGATATTTAAATAAATATGTAAATATCTATATAAAATCTAGAGAACTAAATACCTAAATAAAATATAAACAATATTATTAAATAGAAAACATCTAAAATAAGTTAAAAATAATATTTATTCATAATATCTATCTTCCCAGATCATCCATTATCTCAAAATTTTATTAGATTGAAAGGTGACCAATGCATTCGTCAAACCAAATGGCATCACTAACTATTCATAAATCTCTTAGTATGTACAAAAAGTCATCTTCTCTCTATTCGACTCCTTCATTAGGATCTGATAATATCATAATCGAAGGTCTAGTTTTTAAAAAACATGCTATTCATCTAATAACTTGTGAACAATGGGCATTGAAAATGAGTCTTTTATGGTGATGGCATTAAGAGCACGATAGGCAACACAAAATCTCCATGTATAGTCTTTTTCTCTACCAAGATAATTGGAGCAGAAAATGAGCTTACGCTGGGTTGAATTAACCCTTTAGACAATAATTCAGTCACCATTTACCCAATCTTTACTTCCTAAATAAAGGGGTATCGATATGGTCTCACCTTCATCGATCCTTTTCTAGGTAGTAACTCTATTCAATATTCATAGATACGAATAAATGGTAGCTTATGAGGGGTCAAAAAATAGAGTAATATTTCTACAAAATCAAAGCTAAATCATCCGGTGTGTTCTCAGCTATAGTTATATTTGATTGCAAAGAGTCTACTCACTCCACCACAGACAATTCATCGTACACATCCATATTATGAATTCTATCCATGTGGTGAAGTTGAACTTGTCCAGCCAAGGCTCCACAAAATCCCTTCAGAGTCATAAATTATCCATCTTATATAAATTTAATAGTAGATTTGTTATAGTCAACCATATGGGGCCCCAACGTCTTTAACCAGTCAACACCAATCACCGTGTCTACTCTCACGATCGATGACATGATCATGGTTAAGCTTATTTTAGGTCCTTCAATTAATAGAGGTATATTAGTTATCATTTCCTAACTCTTCAAAATTTATCCAGTACCTCCCATCATTCTCACTGCTGTAGTTCGTTCTATCAGCGCTTTTAGACGTTATACAATTCGAGGGTTGTAAAATTATTTAAACTTCACACGTCTAGTAATACTTGAAACTCTGTACACAAGATGGACCCCTTGAGGCATATCGTAATTATTCCTTACGTTCCCCATAACACACGTAATCATAAGTGATAGAGTGTAGCTTCATGTTCCACCTCATTTACTTGCACCTCTGTTCCAATTACATCTAAATCCTCTTTTTCTCCTTATAACATCATCAATTATTTGTTAGGACAACAATGATTGGGAGTGAATTTGGCATCACAGGTATAACATAGACCCTTTTCTCGCTAAGGTTGCATTTAAGCGGATGTAATCTTCTTGATATGTGGCATATGGAGCAGGAAGTAGTGGCAGTAAGTTAGTTTTCCATTTTGGTATTAGTAGTAGTGTTACTACCTCTTATACTTACATATAGATTTATAGATCTGAATGGCATAACCCTACATAATTTATGGTATAAGCTCTTCAAAGTCTTTAATCTTTAAGCTTGAAACTTCATAAATGGTGGTCTCAGCAAATCAATGTGCTAACATCAGCAATGAGTGAGGCTATTACATAAGAACATTTCTCTATAACTTTATTTTTAATCTTCCCAAATAGCAATCTAATAAAGCCATCTTCGATAGTTCATCAATGTGCCTAGTTAAGGCCATGAATTTGTTATTGTAATCCTATAATGTCCCCTGTTGAGTAAGTTTGAATAATTGCGCTTTGACACTATCAAATTTTGAAGGCCCATATTGGTCTTCTATAGCCTGTGTAAAAGTCGACCACATTTGTATCTTCTATGCTTTCTTCATCATTTGATACCAAGGTATTACCTAACTATCTAAATGAACTAAAGCTATAACTAATCATTGTAGGTCTTTAATATCATAGTACTTAAACTGTTTAGCTCTAAATAACCATTTCAAGGCTTTTGTTCCATTAAACCTTAGGAAGTCCAGTTTAATTTGTCAACTTTGTATTTGAAAGAGAGACAGAGTAGGGATTATAGTCTTTTCTCTTGATGGTGATTCCTCCATGGATGATGAGTCAAGTTTCTCTAATCATCAATTCAGAGTATCAATCGACTGGAGAACTACTTCAAGTAACTCTTCAAGTTTGTTGAATTTGTCTTTCATCTTAGCCATAAACTCACTATTCTTCTTGACATTAGCCTAAAGTTCCTTAAGTCTAGTGTTTTTTACCATGGGTGTCTCTTAATAAGAGCACAAAAAATGTGATGTTCAAATTATAATAGATAACAAGGAATGATAAATGCCCTTCTGAGTATATTATAAACCAGCTAAACATCAATTCAGAGCATTACATAAGCAATAAACAATATAAATGCAAAGAAATGGAAAAGGAAATGCCTTAGAAAATTGCAGAAAAGAGAAGGATAGAGAGAGGGAGGGTAGAAAATGGAAATAAATTGGTAAAGCAGATGAGAATCTCAGGAGGAAGGATAATTCAATCATTGCACAAGACTCAATGTAACAAACTTTGTCTTATTATACTTCCTCCTCCCCTGCTAGGTCACGTAGCTTCCAAGTCACCTTATGTGTCAATCGGCTCCTCTTTATAGGCTTGTTCTGATGGTCCTCTCCCCTGATCCTCTCCTTTGATCTCAATGGGCTCAGTCCTCTTAATAGACTAGTTGGTCTCTTACATTTCTCTAAATCTATTAGGCATAGGGCTTATCACATCCCTCTAAAGATTTTATTTATTATGCTTGTCTTTTGCTTAGTAGAAATTAGGTTGTTTTAATATATTTTGCCTACAAAAGATGTATGTTGTAATGCTAACTCTCTAGCTACGAAT